AAATATATACTTTATTATATATTTAATAAATTATATAATATATTTAATAAATATATATTTAAATTTAATATGTAATATATTTGTATTGAATATATAATACATAGTATACTATATTTACTATATATTCTTCAACATTTTGGCAAGTAATCAAACAGGAACCCAAAATTTCTTTAACATTCTAGCAAGTTATCAACACAGTAGCTAAAACTTATTTAAACCTTCCATAACAATTAAGTCCACTTCTCAAAAAAGAAAAACTTATTTTTCTCAAAGAACATTTATCTTCCAGCAAACTTCTAGCAAACAAATGCGCCCTGAGAGATGCCAGGTGTGTGGGAGTTGACATTGTTTTTGAGACTTTAAATTTTATAATTGCGGTTAGGAAAATATTTTCAGGTCAACATATAGTTTCTGGCTCCAAAACTCCATCTTGTTGCAATATTTTGGGTATATAATTCTAAACTTATACGTGGTTCTTCTAAAGGCATAACGTTAAATGTAGAAATTTTTTCATACGAGTAGCGAATCCTATTTGAAATGACTTGAATGTGAGAGAAATGTGCATTTTCAATAGGTTAGAGAAATGTGCATTTTCAATAGGTTGTCTTTTTTTATTGCATTAACTTAAAAAGTATAAAATTTATTTAAAAAGTATGAATGAAAGAAATAATTCAGATATACTATTTGTCATAAAAAAAAAAAACTGAATGCGACCAAAAGATTTTCAATATTATTTTAAATAGAATTATCACGAGGGACGTAGTGCAAATGAAAATTAGTAAGAAAAACTTACATCATATCAGTTATGAATAATGTTTAATAATTCAAAATTTATAATTAAAAAAATAAAATCACTCAGGTATCTGAAAAAACAAAGAATTAATTCTTATAAATAATACATCATATATTTTTTTGTTAAAAAAATATAATATTATACTTACAAAAGGAAATTTAATTTTCAAAATAATCATAAAAAAATTATAATTAAAAATACATATAAAAA